TTATTTATTTATTTATTTATTAAAAAATTATTTTACCATAAATACCATTTAAAATTTTATTTTTAAATTTATTTATCGAATTATTAACTGAATCATTTTTATTCTCTATATGAATTTGTTTAGTTTCTAACTATTTAATAGAAAATATTCAATCGAATTTATTTAATAATTTATTACATTATCTGTTTGATAAGAAATAGAATGTTGTTGATGAATATCATTGATCATCATTACATTAAGAAAAAGTTTAGATACGAAGCGCGAATTTTCATTAATGAAAAAAAAACCAATGCGCGGAGATCATTTTAATATTTTTTTTCTATTATTTAATATCTGATAATTTAAACTGTAGTATAAATAGATGATGATAATGTTCGTGATGTATAATAAGAATTTTTTTATTTCGATGAATTATAGTGTATTATTGAAAGATAGTCAATGTAATTTTGTTCGTGGATTAATAAGAAGTAATCTTAGTGTTGTAATTAATATTATTGACTAATTAATTAAAGAATAATATAAACAACGCTTTTGTAAAATCCATAATAGAAATGGACAAATAAGTGCAATTATGTCGTGCATATTTGTTGATTATTAAAATCAAACGTTGTGATTTGAATGAATCGTATTATTATTAGTATGATTGAATAAAGATCTAATATAAAAATAATATTTTTATTGAGATAATAAAATTTTTTACTTATGTAATAAATGTTGATAAACTAATATTTGATATCAATCGATAATAAATAGAACAAATATCAATAAGAATTGTTGTATTGCATGATGAATAAATGAATTTATCTTAGCAACAAATTTTTATCTTAGTTTTTATATTTATTAATGATTAAAATATGACTTGTGGAAAATTGTATGAGTAAGTAAAAGTTTTAATAAATACGAATTTATTATTGTGAATATTTTTTTAGTAAATTATGGAATAAGTATATATTTCTATTTTTCTTTTAATCAATATAATTAAGAGATTAAAATTGTTTTATTTATTTTTAAAGCTATTTGATTAAATATGGTGATTTTCGTGAACGTTTACAAACAATACGAAATGATCATGAATGTTTTATGCAATTACAATTACCACGTATTAAACAAAAATCATTAAACATTCGTGTTCAATCTTTAACATCCATAAAAAAACCTTTAGTTGATGTTAATAATCGAAAATTTGATAAAAAATGTCATCCATTATTACCATCGGAATGTTGTCATTCACCAATAACGAAAAAGAATCATTTACTTACATTGAATCAAACTGATCTCGATGACTTAGAAAAATTAATAGAAGCTGAGGTTATATCTACATATATACTAAATTATTATTGTATTATATAAGTATAATGTTATAATATAGAATTTTCCGAACAATATTTTTCAAGTCAATACTAGATCTCGATCTTCAATAGACAATGGAACAGATTTTACTGTAACAAATAATATTCTTGATGATAATCATCAATTATCTTCAAAACGATTAACATCACCACTTAATTCAATGTTTGGTAAAACTAATGTCAATCATTCAATATCGCAATGTAGTAAACAATCGTCGATATGTCTACGTTCAAATAGGTTAAATTATTAACATCAAAAATAGAAATATAACGATGATAGGTGACCACTGCTACACTGATCTAGACATGTACATACAGAATAAGACTATGGTGATCTTACATTTATTTTGACTTTTACAGTTGAAGAAAGATCTATTTCAAGAAAATAGTTGAATTTCATAAAACACGACTCAATCATGAGAACTAACGAAGAAACATTCCTAAGCTTTGGAGTTCAAACTATGTGCATCATGTAAGCAGGATGCTGTAATTTCTCTCAAGAATATCAAGAAATCTGAGTTTCAAATTTTAACTTGAAATTTTGCATAAAGGCAGGTCTTGATGAGAATAGTTTGTTGTAAAAGTTTCAGATCTTTTGATTGTTTCTACCCGAAGATACAGTTATGGTAAAAGCATGTTTTTCATGCCGCTCGCATACAACGCCAAATTCCGATGTTCTTATTTCAGAGTAGACGCAATCAAAAAAATCTGACACTTATTCTTGAGGGAACCACAGCATTCTGCTAAAAAAACATGACGTACATAGTCCCGACTCAAAAACGATTTGACACTTAGAAACATTACCTCGTAAGTTTTTCTCGAACAAAAAAATCGAAATCAATCTAAGGTCACCATAGTTTTATCATGCGTTTACCGTTACTCTGTACCTAGATGTTTAGACCAGTACAAAGCTGTATATAAGACCGGTGCACCGTTGCATCACTAATAGAAAATAGTCAAGTATTCTTCTTTTAGTCATATATCAATGCAAAAATCCGAACTTGGTACGACATCACAACTTGCATCAAGTGCACATAATCAAATCTCAAATTGTATTACTAATCCATATGCAAAACTTCTTGAACGTCTTCGTCAAGATGAAAAACCAAAACTTAAAAATTTCAATACAAAATTCAGTCAAAAATCATTTGATATAAAAGTAAAATTTTCTTCAATGATTCTAATTAAATTTCACAAAAACAAACTTCTCTTTAGATTAATACAAATACTCATTGTTGTATTCAAAAATTACTTTCTTTTCTTCATTCTCTCGATGATAATACTACTGATAATGAACAAAATTCAAATATATTCGATGAAAATACATTAATAGATTTATTCTCAATTGATAATCATCTATCATCATCTATATATGTACCAACAAATATTCATCAACTTGATATTATACCAAAAATTCTTCATCAATCATTAAAAAATACTTCAGATAATGAACAAATACTTAGCAAAGTAAATGATTATATATTAAAATCTAATCTATAGTGTTTTGTTTTATTTTTTTTTTGTTCAGATTCAAGATGAAGTATCACAAAAAAATGTAACAACAGAATTAAATTCAAAGATGTTTAAAAATTCTAAAATATTTTTGAATATTAATAAACAACAATTATATTCACATGATGATTCTCTACCATCGAATTTTACCGAACAAAATAATCAATTAGTAAGATTATGTATAATATTTCATTAATAGAAAAAAAAATCTTTTTTTTCTTTTTTCTTTATTTGAAATAGAATTCAAAATTATTTAATACTTATAGTGTTAAAGCATTTAAAGAATTCTTAATTCATAATAAAAAATCTACACGATTACCAAAAGTATATTCTAATAAAATGTTTATGAAAACAAAAATTTTATTTTATTTTTTTTTTATTTTAAAGTTATTTCACGATATTGATCAATGGGAACAAAAATGATATTATTTTTATTAATAGATATTCTATTTTATTTAATACTCACACAAACAAAAAAACAAAGCTTGTTAACACAGCCCTTTCGAAACTGAAACGTGAAACTCACATGTGTTCTTTAGCCTTATGATACTAATACAAAATGCGTAAAATGAAAAATCTCTCGCAGTCTATAGTTGTTTTCTAAAGATAATCGACTGTCATCACAGAAGTGATCCGTCTGATTTATTTAACAGATTTTTTTTTGTCTATTTTTTACTGGTACTCTATTCTTTGTTTGTTTTGTTGCTATTCGCTCGTTATTTTTCTTTTTCGCATTTCGTTTTTATTAATTCAACATTATTATTATTATTATTCTAACCATTGATTTAACAAGTCTCGATAAGCTTATAAACACATTTCCTAAAGTTACAATTTGATCAGTTCATGTTTTTTTTTTACATTGATCATATGATGACTATGATAAATTAATAGATCACTACTCATCACTCTTGACATCTTAAATATAAACTTTTATCTACGCAAAAATCAAAAATTATACTATTTAGAACGTTCACAATCGTATTCCAGTCATTCAAATTTCAAGGAAGACTTTGGAATGTTCTAGAATTCTCTAAATTAGTCTAAGTTTTGTCGTCAATACTGTTTCTCATAGCTAATGAGAGAAATATCAGAACTAATCTCCGCCGTTTGAGCTCACATTGGGTTCACAAGGAGGTCTCGGTAAAACTAGAAACATCTTAAAACAATTTATGCCGATGGATTCCTGGAATCGAATTATGACTGTTGTACTTGGATCACTAGAGCTATTTATGGAGAAAATGTCACGTCGAAATTCTTTTATTTCATTTTTCGTTAAATATCTAAAGCTAGATCAGGAATTCAATAAAACAGTTATAAATCGGCTGCAGAAGTTCATGGGCACGAACCCTTTCATGATTTTTCTAATCTTATCAAGACTTCCGTGTGAACCTAACATGAACTCAAACGGCAGGTATCAGTTCAAGTTGTTTCTTCATAAGGAATTTCGAGAAACGAGCCTGACGTTTATAATCTTCGGTGGGTAAGGTTTGTAATGGAGACAGGGAGGAACTGCGAAACTTCAAATACATGTGAGTTTCACAAAAAAAAATTGTTGTTTTTTGATTATAAAGCAACAAGTGAAACAGTATATGTATGTGGTACGGTTGATTGAAGTGAGTGTTTCCATCGAGCATGACTATGTATTTGATTAGAACCATGTAAATGAAGTCTAAGATGACATTCAACATGATTATCATTTGTTGAAATTAATGATGAATCAACAATTAATTGTAATTCTTTATCAATTTGAAATGATGACGAAGATGATGGAATCATAAATGATGAAGTATTTGCCCAATGATACTTATGAGAAGTATTCGATAGTTGACCACTGAAATAAGCTACAAAAGATGGTTGATTGTATTTGTTTTTTTTTTTGAATTAAATAAATCTATTTTTAGAATATACCTTTTAATGGGATTTTAAATTTCGATCGCTCTATATGTAAATAATTAATTTGTTGTATTCGTATTTGAATAAGATTTTGATCTTTTAAATAATAAGTTTTTATTGTTAATTGTCCAAGATAATCAGATCGAATATGTAAATCTTGACTGAGATATTCTAATAAACTATTTGTTGAAAATGTTTTGTCATTTTTATTTTCATCAATAAATTGATCAAATTTAATAAATACATGTCCAATTATATGACGAATACGTGTTATTGAATTAACTTCATATGCTGTTAAACGTAATGTTCGTTTTAATAAATCATTTGATTTTAACTAAAAGAAAAAGAAAAATTTAATTTATTGAAAAATTACTTCTTCGTTTTTTCTATTACTGGAAAAAGAAAATTTTCATTAAATATACCATTTATTGATGATTTTGTTTGACGTTGTTCATCATCATTTGGTAATAAATAAAGAATTACATATATATTTTGAGTATTTTTAGCTAAAAAAAATAATACTTAAATAAAATTTATGATTAATTTTTTAATTAATTTACTTGGTATATAATTATTTAATTGAACAATAGTTATAAATAAAGTTTCTATTGTATGTTCATATCGAAGTTGATATGTAATTGAAGGTGTAATTGGTTTTGAAGGAATACTAAATATAAATAAAAATAATATATATATATATATATATTGAAGAAAATTTTATTTACATTGGAGATATATTCGATACAGTTGGAAAACGAATATTAGCACCAAGTGATAATCTAGTTGAACGAGATGATAAATCAATTGTTGCAGGAGCATAAGAACGATAACAATTGCCAGCAGCTAAAGTTTGAAGACGAGCAGTAAGATCTTCACCGAATGAAGCTGAACGAGATCGTGATAATTGTTGTTGTTGTTGTTGTTCCAGATTAAATAAACATGATGAAGATTGTTGTCTATATCAAAAATTCATATATTTCATTTGAAAAAAAAAATCATAATAATAATAAGTTTTAATTTCTACCTAGAAATCGGTGCTGAACTAATAACTGATTGTCTACTTGTTGTTGATTTCCAAATACATGTTCTTTTAAACTTTTTTTGTAGATAAACAATCAAAACAATAACAATTGATGATAATAATGTAATTGATCCAACAATTAAGCTCAAAATAATTGCACCTAATTAGTAAATAGATGATTAAAATAGAAAACAAAAACAACAATTACATGTACTAACTCATTATTGTACTTAATCGAATGTCTACATCTAGTAATATTTACTATAGGAAAACATTTTCCACGTAAATTGAAAAAGAAAAATGCGTGGATGATAATATTTAATGAGAAAGGTAACAGCTGGAAAATATTTTCAATAGGCTCTCAATAAGAGAATAATGTCATTATTTTTGACGCCTACATTTATATACTGATAGTTTTTCTTTTTTATATTAATATGAAAAGAACGAAAAAAAAGAAAATGTGTCGATTTTCAGTTTATCACACTTATGTTTTGTTAAGAAAAGACAATAATAATATTGCGTATCAATTCATGAATGATAGATGATTGAATAACCAATAACACAATGATATAACACTGACATTCTTTTATTATTTTTATCGTTGAATTAGGCACAAATGAAAAATTTCAAAAATTTATCTAAAATTTTTGATATACTTCTGGCATGTTACAATGGGTCCGTGTCGAGGCACCATGTGTTTTTTTTTGTAGTTCGAAGTAACTATCTAATTGCCACGTCATACATTTTTTTTTTGTTTTTATTTTTATTGTTGTCGATAAATTAAACGGTCTATCATATCAGGTGCATAGTCCACTATTGACATAATCCTTTCATTATAAAAAAAGTCGATTATTGATTGTAAAAAACAAAAAGAAAGAAAGAGTATTTCAATGATCAATACTATGAAATATGATGCTTTTTTTTAGTTCTATTTAATTCCATAATAATCAAAACAAATCGATTTATAGCATTTGATTCTTTTAGAACTATTCATTCAACTCTTT